GACCAGGCGGGAGGGAGGTGGGAAGTCACAGAGTCGCCCTGGTGGTCCTTACCCAGCTGTGGCCTCCGGGTCCCTTCAGCCTCTGCCGCCTGCTCAGATGGGAACTCTTCATCAGCCACTGTGGCCCCCCAGGCCAGGCCTGGCTGCAGCAACAGCAGCAGCAGCAGAGAGCCCAGCAGGACGGTCCCTGCAGCCATTGTGACAGGCAGGTCCCGGGGGGCAGGACCAGGACCTGAATTTATCCCCTGCCCAGGCCAGGGAGCTAACCTCTTCACTGCCGGCTCCACCAGAAGGCCACGCGTCTGCACCAGCATCGTGTGTCCTCGGTTCCAGGCATCAGCTCCTCCTGCCCCTCACCCCACCCTCTGAAGAGTTAAGGCTCACCCCCCAGCCCACCCCACCCCAACATTCCACAGCCCCATCTCTGACGCCCCTGATTTATAAGTGCTTTACCGGCAGCCAGGGCCAAGCCCAGGGCGGGCGACCCGTGTCCCCACCCTACCTGCTGTCCGGAAAGGGAGGCAGGGAGGCTCTGTAGGTCCCCCAACAGGGTTGCTGCATACTAAGATGGGGTGCTAGAGCTCAGGAGCCCCCATGTCATGTGCGATGTGCCATGGGACAGAGGTGCACGCTGGGAAGGGGGGCTTGGCAGGAGACGAGTCCATAGGGAACCCTCCATCATGGCTCCTGCCTGGAAGATTAAGACGTCATGCCCCTGTCTCCGGGCCTGGCTGAGCCAGCATCAAAACAGGAAAAAGGAGAGGCCAAGAGACAGCCAAGGCCGGGGCCAGGAGGCAGGGACTCCTGTCTCTGGAAGCCAACCTGAGAACCCCATGACTGCAGCCCCATCCTGGGGCCCAAGGGGAGGTTGAGGCCCTCTGGTCATGGTAACATCCAGCATGGCGGAGAAGCAGCATGTCAGAGCAAGGCATGGACTCTGGTGGCTTCCATGCCCAGCCCTCTGTGACCCTGGGGAGGTGAGGCCCGTCCCCTCACCAGTGCAAGAGAGCTCATCAGACCCCCTCTCCCCACAGGACGATGAGGACTGACAGATGACAGGCGCTTGGTGTTTAAAGCAGTGGCAGGGACTTTCGACACAAAGTAACACAAATAGGGCCGGGTTCGGTGGCTCAGCCTGACATCCCAGCACTTTGGGAGGCCGAGGTGAGTGGATTGCCTGAGCCTGCGGGCTTGAGACCAGCTTGGGCAACTTGGCGAGCCCTCGTCTCTACTATAAATCAAAAATGAGCTGGGCGTGGTAGCATGCACCTGTAGTTCCAGCTACTTGGAAGGCTGAGGCGGAAGGATCGCCGGAGCCCAGCAGGTTGGTGCTGGGGTAGCGGTGAGTGTGCCACTGCACTCCAGCCTGGATGACGGAGTGAGACTCCAACTCAAAAAAAAAGAAAAGAAAAAGAAATGCAAATAGGCTGTGAATGTCTGAAAAGGGGCTGCATCCCACACAAGAGAGCAGAGTTAAAACTCAGGGGCTCAAGCCTGGGCAACATAGCAAGACGCTGTATCTACAAAAAAATTTAAAAATTAACTGAGGCTGGTGACCCTTTAGTTCCAGATACTTGGAAGGCTGAGGCAGAAGCATCGCCTGAGCTGAGCCGTGATCTTGCCACTGCACTCCAGCCTGGAAAACATAACATGACCCTGTCTCTACAAAAAATTGAAAAATTAGCCAGGTGTGGTGATGCCTGTAGTCCCAGCTACTTGGGAGGCTGAGGTGGGAGAATTGCCTGAGCCGAGCCATGAGCTGCCATTGCACTCCAGCCTGGCCAACAGAGCAAGACCCCGACTCAAAAAAAAAAAACAAAACCTCAGGCCACCAGATTGGCAAAAATCAACTTGCACACGGCTATGTGACGCAGGCAGGCCTGATGCTGCTAGTGGGTGTAACTGGTGGCAGCTCTGTGGATGAGCAGCTGCCATCCTAAGCTCCACTCAGCTGCCTAGGACACCTGCTTCCTGGACATGCCCCACACAGGTGAGCCAGGCAATAGGCATGGGACACTCACTGCCCTGCTTGTCCTGGGAGACTAGAAGGGCCCTAAACTCTGTCCATGACTGTGCTGTGATATTGATTCAGATCGCTTTCACAGATGAAAAAAAGGCATTAAGTCGCCCAGAATTAAGCAGCAGCCTGGACTTGAACCCAGGTCCCCAAAAGCAAGGCCCCTGCTCCCAGGGCCATACTGCGACCTCCTGGTGGGGAGGCCTCAGACCACAGTCTACACGGTGGGGACGGCAGGGGAGGAGGCCGAGGCTGCTTTCCTGCTGCTCAGGACCAAGTGGGAGCTGGAGGAACTGGGACATTCCGAGGGATTAGGCCGCCATCCCAGGCATCCCCACTCGGCAGCCAAGGGCCCTCGGAATGGGGTGGGGACGTTTTCCATCTGCAGTTTCCAACCACCGGCAAGACGGAAGCCTGACATCCTGCCTCCAGCCAGGTTGCTTGGAACATGGGTTCAAGAGCAGCGGGCCAGCCAAATTCCACTTTGGGCCACGTGACTGTCCAGGAACTAGAAAAGCCATCCCTGGAGAATGCCCCCAAATGCCATGTGAAATCAATGCATGACCAAGTCTGTACGAAGGGAACCCCAGATGCAGCACTGGGAAACCAGAAAATAGGGCCCAGCAACCAGGGGGACTGCCAGGGGCGCCGGGCTTTGGTGGCCATGTAGGGGCAGAACCCCAGCTGAGAGCCACACATAAGATGGGCTGGGGCTGGCACTCCCGGGTGGCTGGCGGAAGCCCAGGCAGAGCCATCTGGAAGGACCTGCCTGCCTGCAAAGTAGGCCACCCAGGACTCCCACGGATAGAGCCCCCGGCTGAGCACCAGCCTCCTGTCCTGATTCACGAAGCACAAGAAAAAACCTATCACGAAGAGGGTCAGAAGATATAAAGGCTGTCCATGAACTTCAGACTATAAGGTAAAAAATGCTTCAAATAGAAAATGAGCAGCCGGGTGTACTGGTGTGGGCCTTTGATCCCAGCCACTCAGGAGGCCATGGCAGGAGTATCACTTGAGCCCAGTTCAAGGCTGTAGTGCACCATGACTGTACCTGTGAATGACCACTGCACTCCAGCCTGGGAGATAGAGCAAGACCCTATCTCTGAAAACATAAATATAAATAACATGAAAGAAGGGGCTGGGCACAGTGGCTCACACCTGTAATCTCAGCACCTTGGGAGGCAAGAAGACTGCTTAAGCCTGGGCAACATGGTGAGACCTTGTCTCTGTAATAAAAAAACAGGCCGGGCTCAGTGGCTCAGCCTGTAATCCTGAGCTTTGGGAGGCCGAGGTGAGTGAACTGCCTGAGCCCGTGGGCTCAAGACCTGCCTGGCCAACTTGGCGAGACCTCATCTCTACAACATATCAAAAAAATTAGCCGGGCGTGGTAGCGCGTGCCTGTAGTTCCAGCTACTTGGAAGG